CTTTGCACAGCAAAACCCACGGCAGACGCGTGGGCTGCAGGCCGTTGATGCAGTTAGGGAAAGCAATATCTTCAAGGTGAGAATTGTGGCACTGCCTGCTCACCCTTGGCCTCGTCTGGGGCTTGCTCCTCTCTGCATGTGGCCCCTGTGATGGGGCACGCTGGTTTCCAATCTTTGGGGTGGCATTGCATGGCCCTGCTAGCAGGGTGCCCCATGCCATACTCTTGAACCAACTGTGGGTGCGTGTCCTACTTGTGCTGTTGGCCAAAAGCTGCCATCCCTCCTCTGAGTGTTAAGATTCCCTGTGATTGTTCTGCATGGTCCTCTGCCCCCATTTGGTTCTTCCCAGACAACTGCAATGAGACGATATTTATCTTGGGCACCTTGTTCAAAAGACTCTAGCCTGTGATTTTTTTTGGAGTGAATGCCAAAAGCAGTCTCAGAGCAGCAGTGATGTGGACACCCCTGGGCCACGCTGTGCTGCGTGCTCCAGCCCAGTGCTTGGCAGTGACAGCTTTTGCCATGTCCTTGTCTCGGCAGATGCTCTGTGATGTTGACCAGGTAACAGCAGTGCGATTCATCCTGCGGCAGCCGTCCCCAGTCTGGCTCCACTTCACCATTGAGGAGCTGCAGATTTACCCCCCCAGCCAGAAGGTGACTGGATGCTGGTGGTTTGCTCCTTCCCTAGTGTGGGGAGGGTGGTCTGAGACAGGTCACGGTCCCCAGTTCTGCATGTGGCATCGCGTGACGAAGCTTTGGGGACTTTGGGTTCCCTCCAGGTGTCTCGGGCCCAGTGCAGGTCAGCAGTGCTGCCTGATGCAGGGCTGAGTGAGCTCTCCAGGGGTCAGGCCACCTGGGGCCTTGTCCTTCGTTAGTGTGCTCGGGGTCCCCTTGTCCCCTAGTGTGCTCCAGGACCTGGGAGAAGGACTGCACTGCCCAGCCCTGGGTCCTGTTTGTGTAATGGACACACGTCTCTTTGAGCGGCTGGACTGAGCTGAGGCTTGCTGTATCCAAATTATACCCAAGCCTCAGTTGTAAGCACCCAGCCTAAACGCATATTTCCCTTTAATGATAGTAAAGCGAAACTTTTGTGTGTAACAACGTAAACACTGGAGTGGTCCAGACTGCAGCACCGCTCTTGTGAAGGATGGAGGTGGGATTGAGGACAGTGCTTGTGTGATCCTTGCAATCTATTTCAGAGTCCACAGAAAGATTTTCCCGCCTGGCTTTCCCAGCTGACTCCTCCGGAGCAGCCAGCCAACCTGTACGGGGTGAGTGGTCCCTATTAAAGTGTTACCAGGGAAAGACAGTGCTGGCTGTGGGAACAAACACCTCCTGCCTGCCACTTAGGTGGAAGGGTGCAGAGCTGTGCACGTGGCTGTGCACTGCAGAGGAAAAGGAGTAGCACAGCAGCAGCTAACGTGCACACGCTGTGCTCATCTGCCCCTTCCAGCCAGGAACCTGCTGCTGCTGTGGAGTATCCCAGCTTGAAAGGAGAGGATGTCCTCAGGAAGTGCTTGGAGCTTCATGCTTAGGGAAAAAGGACTTGCCAAATACTGGGCTCGCAGGGGCCTGCAAGGAGCAGGCAGGATGGTGGTAGCATTTGGCTTTCCTGGTTCGTGCCAGGGCGGCAGGCATGCAAGGTGTGAGCTGATTGCACCAAAGTGTCCTGAGCAGGGATGAGTGGCCATGGAGGTGAGGGCAAGTCCGCCCAGCGTCCGAATTGTGTGCTGTGGGGCAGTCCTGGTTCAATGTGCACAAGGGGAGGAGGGGAAAAAGAGGAAGCCTGCAGAGCTGGGGAAGAGGTTGGGGGACAAAATTTTGTGGGGTGAATGAAGGGCAGAGAGGCTCTGTAAGCACAGGCACTAGGAAGCACTGATCCAAAGGAGAAGTACATGGTGTATAAGAGGAGGCAGGATGCGGGCCTGAGCAGCCTGCTCTAGTTTTGAAGTTGGCCTTGCTTTGAGTGGTGGGGTTGGACCTTCTGGCCTCGATTTTTTCCCTGATTCCCAAGCATGGAGCCCAGAGGGCTGCTCTAGAGGACTGTGCTGTGCATGCAGCTGAAAACAGCCTACAGTGGCCCTAGGGAGGAGGAGGTAGGAGCTTCCTGCACCTTCAGAAACCCTGAGGAACAGGGCCTGGAGTCACCCTGGTAGCTGAGCCACTTGCATTAAGACAGGCTGAGGCTGAGCCAGAGCCTTCCAGCTATGTAAAGCAGGAGAGGTGTTCAGCAAAACTCAGGACAGGATGAGTAACGCTCCCATGCTGGGAGGAGATCCCAGTGCATGGTACCAACTTCCCCGTGAAGCATCCTGCCCTATCTGTGGCCTTTTTGCTCCAGGCCCTGACCAGGAATTAGTTTCAAAGCCCAGAAATTGTCCACCTTTTATTGGAAGTAGCTTACAGAGTTCAGACAAAAGCAAATCTCCCCTGGGTTCTGCAATGTAGGGTGTTTAAATCTGCTTGTCCTTCAGTGTGGGGATAGGAAAATCTCTGCAGGACCAGTGGTAAGTAGCATTGCTCAGCCAGCTGGTGGGACACTTGGAAACAGGGGAAGCGTCACTGGTCCCTGCATGTTTTGCACCCTCAAGCGGTTTGCAAATGGCAAAGAGTGAATGGTAGAGAGTTTGTTGCCCAGCTCTGACAACATGCAGAGGGAGATAACAGCCCCCGTCTGTGGCCATGGAGCGTGTTTACAGCTGTCAGCACTGCCAACCAGGTCTTCCCGACAGGCAGCCTTTTGGTGAGCAAAGTCCACAAATGCAGCAGAGTGAGTGATGTGACTGGCTTGCTGATGGAAGAGAAGAGGGGCTTCTTGTCTATGTTGCTAGAATCCATTGAACCAGTTACTTTAGTTGCCTGTAAAACCATGCCCTGAGCCCAGGGTTGTCCCACACAACTTCCCCAGCCAGCAGTGCCTCTGGGAAGATGAGAGGACAGTTTTGCTGGCATGGAGTTTAGACTGTGGTAGCAATGAATGTTTTCTGTACAGCCCTGGTGGGCTTGGGAGCTCTGGTTCCTGCCCCAGTATTTGACAGGGTGGTGTGTGGGAGGACTCTCCCAGCCCCCTTGTAAACCACTCATTACCTCCCTCTTGAATGAGGTGCCTTCCAGCTCCAGCCATCCCCCAGGGTGGCTGATGGACTGTGGGGATGCTGGGGTTAAACCAGCCACTTGGCTGCACTAGGGACACCTCACCCTTCTGTGTCTGCCGGCGGCTTTGCTCTGAGAGCAGGAGTTGGGGGTGTATGAGAAAGAGGGTGCACAGCTCAGAGCTTTGGCCTGGTTTGCCATGTTTTGGACTGGAGAGGTGATTCCCAAAATAGCACAGGAGTTTGCAAGTCCTGGTTGGCTAAAGATCCCTCCCTGGGAAACTGCACCTGGAGAGGGGTTTTTGTGCCACCTCTGATGTAAAGCTTATGAGCTTAGAAAGGCTTGAGGAGTGCAGAAGGGGGGAGGCTGTTGGGAGACTCTGGACTATGTGGTTAGGTTTTTAATCATTAGCTAATGATCTGTGTTATGTCCTCACTCTGGATGCTTGGCCAACAGAGATGGGCTGCTTTGGAGTTGGGGACAACCAGAGCTGAGGGCCATGGGAGTCACCAGGTGGCTGTTTTCCTTAGATCACAGCCCTACTTTCCCTGGGTTTGGAAAACCACCATCAGGTCAGGAATAAGACACTGCTTCATCCAGGGCATGATTGCAATCATGCCCAGCTCTCTCGGGGCAGCCGGACAGCTCGGGTTCTGGAGAAGGGGGCTCCCTGCGGCTGTGGGGCTTAGGTGACAGCCCCTCTGCAGAACATGGACAGAAGTCCTGCCTTGTTGGCTGCTTTAATTCAGGGTAGTCCATTTTTTCTGGTGCCGGGGGCCCTGGGCTCAGTCAAGGTGTCGCAGCCCTGCTCCATCTGGGCTGTTACGTGTTAACCCGAGCGCTGTGGCCCTGCTCTTTCTGCTGCATCGCTCCTGCTTCTTGCCAGGAACTCCCTGATCCAGAGAAGGTATCGACGGAGGTCCAGCAAATGTGGGTGTTGACGGAGGTGATCCGTGCTCGCCAGGCAGCTGCCCGCATCGGCCGCTTTGATGTGAGTCCCATCGCCCTCCTCATAGGTGACCTGACTCTGGCCTTGCCATCACTATCTGTGTGACTGGAGAGGTCAGCCCATGGCATCACTCGTGCATGTGGGGAGTCCTCCCAGAGGGTCTGGTCCCAGCAGGACCGGGGGAGGGTTTGAGTGGTGGGGCCACATGGGTGTCCCACCAGTGATGGTGCTGGGGAGGAAGGGATGCAGCACATTATGGTGCTGTATGGAGACCAACTGTTGCTCTGTCTTCCAGGTGGATGGCTGCTACGACATCAACCTACTTTCCTACACGTGAGCCAGCTGGTGGGACACCACTCCTCTGCGATGCTGGGGCCCAAAGGGGACATGAGGGGCTCCCGTGCTCCCAAATTTGCCTTTGTCCCTCCTGCACTGGGCTATTTCCAGGCCCTACCTGTTCCTGTTCCTTTCCCCAACTCTTTTTGTACTAGCGCTTGGTGGCGGGCAGCACTGCCTCCCCAGGAGCCTGGGGAGGGCTCTGTATGAGCCTCTTGCTACACTGGTGCCCTCTGGTTCCTGCGGTTTGCTGCTGGCTTGTCCCATCCTGTCGCTCTGGGCCATCCTGCTCGCTGCCATAGGCAAAGGCGGGCTGCGCAACTGTAACTGCCTTTGGGAATGGTCCCTGGCCTTATCTCTGCAAGCAGCTGCTCCTGGAGATAAAGGGAGGGGGCTGTGGCTGGTGGCTGCTTCTCTCTCACAGGGCCATCCCAGGACAAAGTTAACGGCTGAGGACGTGCCTGCGGCACAGCACTACCCTGCTCGCTCTGGAAGAGACTAAATCACAACTAAAAGCTGCTACCTTGGCACTGGCTGCACCTGTGTGTCTTGAGGGCCCCTCTTTGGAAAACACAGGACCAGCTGAAGGGCCAGGGCCCCATCTGAGCTGCTGGGCCCCTCCAATGGGACTGGAGGTGGGGGAGTCACAGATTGCTCAGTGGCACCATGAGCAGGGCCTGCAGTCCTGTGTCCCCCCCCAGCTCAGCTTCTGCTTGCTGCCATGGGTCACCACAGGCAGGGTGCTCTGCCCAGGCAGCTGGCTCCAGTGGGGGTGGCCAGCCTGACCCTGGCCCTGGCACCTCACAGGCCACCAGCCCTACAGTTGACCCCAGCCCTGCACCTGACCCTCACTTGGGCAGCAGGCCTGAAGCCAGCCCCTCGTGGACTGCCAGCCCCACGGCTGACCCCGGTTGGGGCAGCAGGCCTGGAGCCAGCTCCTTTTGGGCTGCCAACTCCATGGCTGACCCTGGTGGGGGACACATTGGGCCTGATGCCAGCCCCTTGTGGGCTGCCAGCCCCATGGCTGACCCCAGTGGGGGACACAGTGGGCCTGAAGCCAGCCCCACAGCTGACCCCGGTTGGGGCAGCGGGCCTGGCGCCAGCCCCTCGTGGACTGCCAGCCCCACAGCTGACTGGGGCTGGGGCAGCGGGCCTGACGCCAGTCCCTCGTGGACTGCCTGCCCCATAGCTGACGTCTTT